GCTCTGGCACACATATTTTGACAAGTCTCCCTCAATAGGTGATTGGTTCCAGGTCACCACCACCCGCCCTTCTGCCCCTGAACTAGTGCAGTTCTCCCTGTTCGCAGCAGTACAGTTAGTTATTAATTGGGATAAAATTGACATCTATCTTCTTTTAGTAGAGTCTGATAAATGTGTGTGACTGTTGAAAATTTGGTAAATTATTTGAACTATAAGTAGCATGTTTGTTTTGTTTCTGTAGATGTAACCATAGAAAATGAATTTTAAAGGGATTTCAAGGAGGAGGGGGTGGAATTAAGTTGTAGAATGCTAGGTAGGCCCAGAGAGCATTCAAACAACAAACAAACAAAAAAAGCACAGTCACAGAGAATAGAGTCAGTTGCCCTGGAGAGAAAGCATGAACTGTAAGGACCTAAGCCCTATAACATCATTTATATCTAAATACTGTTACTGTTTCTTTGGCCAGTAATTAAAAGACCTTGGTACTGCTTTTCTCGTCTCCTGGCTTCTAGCACATTTCTAAGCAGTCTTTTCCCTGTGTCTCTCTTTTCTTATGTCTCTCATGTGCCTTCTTCTAGATCATTATCATGGGTCCGAAACCAGTATTTTTCCTCTGCTCTTCTTATTTACCTTCTTTCAGTGATTAAAAACCTTCCTGAGGTACTGCCAGTGATATTTAACTGAGCAGACGGCAGGCTTCCCAGTCTAGGCAACCAAAACAACCAATTTCGGGGGGAAAATTTATGCTTACTATGACTGACCTATTCTCCCAAAGTGACTTGGTTCTTTCATAATTTCACCATACCTATATGTTACATAGTGTATGTGCTCTGTGACTGTTTGATTGTGAGCTTTTGTACAGACGCTGTCTTTGCCCCCTTCTTTTGACTTCATAAAGAAGCTCTCTCTTCGCATCCTAAGGAACTCTTTTCCACTCTGTCATGCCAGAAAGCTACCATCTCCTTTCCCTCCTAGAGTACCTTGCGTTTGCTACATTCACCCTGGACCCACTCCCTTGCTAACACCTTTGATCTGGCTTTCATCCCTTTTGAAACCACTTCTTTCTGGTCACCAAATGATTTGCTAATTGCCAGTTCACCGAATCACTTTCATAATTTTTTTAAGATTATTAGGAATTTTTAAGTTGATTGGAATATTTTCATCCTCTTTTACATTTGTGTACTTTTTGGAATGGTTATTAGTAGGAATGAGTATAGTTGGAAAGTGGAAAGATTCACTGCAGAGTAAGTAACTTTTTCTATTTTATGTTATCAGTGTTGATGGTCTCTAAGGCATCTTTTCAGGGTAAAAGGGATTAAATTTTTAAATTTTGCCTCTGAAATAATATTTTTCATAGTAAGCTGAAATTGCTAAACTAAAGCATCTAAGGAAGATAATGAAGATTATTTTTACCTTGAGTCTCCATAGGTGAAGTAGACTCTGCTTTGTGCTGTAGCTGAGAGAGAGAGAGAGAGAGAAAGAATATCAAGCCATCCTCAGGGAGAGTTCTGTTAGAAAGTAATTTACAAACAGTATTTCCCACCACGAGCCTGGGTGGTGTGCTTTCCAGGTTATTGATGAGAAAATCCAGACTCATAGAGGGGCTTTATAAGTCAAGCACATTTTTGATGGCCTAAGTCTATTTTTTTAAGGCAATATTGAAGAGTATTAGTAAATTGGTACAAGGTTAAAAGAATATTTCTCTGGTACTCCATGTCTTACTAGCAAGTATATTCTTTTTGCTTTAAATTCAGGTTTTAACTGATTAAAATAAAAATAAAGAAAGGTCTCTTTAGTAATTTATGGGTTGAATTTTTTATTTATCAATTTAAAGTAAGTTTTATTTATGCCTTATGTGATAGGTGTTTATGTGTATATTATGTATAAAAAGGCCAGTGCATAGAATTAACGCTACGAATTAGGCTGTTTTTCTCCCTTGCTAATAACACTTACCACTTCCTTACTGACTGAGTTAAAAATGAAGTAACATTGTTGAACATGGGATTAAACTTTGATTTGTTTTATTTTTAATTATTTATGCATCATCTTCATTTCTAAGATGGGAAAAAAAATAGAATCTAGTCATTGAAAACAATCTAATCACAAACAATCCATTGGCCTTTCAAACGGCATATTCAAAAAATAAAATTAAACAAGACAAGAATACATTTTTTTAAAAAAAGAGCGATCTTGAAGGACAAATTGATGCACACTAAACTTGTAACCTCTGGGAAGTGAGGTTCTCGGGATAGTTGGAGAGGGGATTAAGAGCAAAAGGAATTGTAATGTTTTACTATTTTATACATTTCTAAACTATTTTCCCAAATGAGCATAATTTCATATTCTTAATTATCATAGTCATGGAAATGATGAAGCTAATTCATGATATGATTAATCTTAAAAGTGATAGAATATTTTCCCAAATAACTTCTTGGTGATGGTGAAACCAGAAAAACACTTTATGGGACCACATAGCACTTGCTCATCAAGGCACCCTCCTAAGTGTTAGGATTCACTTTCATTTCATCTCATTTCCAGTAACTGCCTGTCATGGATCTGTCATATATGAGTGAATTGAAATCTGTCTTGAATTAGTGAAGTTTTCAAGCTTTTGCAACTCATTTAAGATAATAGATTCTCTGTGTGTCATTGTTATCTACTGTGTATGAAAAGAGTCCATTTTAATTTCTCTTACAAAGGCTATTTCACTTTTCCTTAGTTTTAGTATTTTGAATTATAGAAGGAAGTTTAATTAGATCACTTTTTCTGGGCCAAGGAACTCAAGTCTTTTTAGTCTTTCCTTTTGTTGATGTCACTTTTTACTTTGAGTCATATGTACAGACTGTACCTGTCTTCTCCAAGTACACTACCAAATGTTTAGGTGTTTTTGTTTTAATCCTTTTTATTATCACACAACTAGTATATATGCATTGTGGAAAATTAGAAAATATAGATGGCAAAATTTATAAAACAATTGCCACTACCTAGAAGTAACCACTGTAACATTGTATTCTAAGACAATTTTAATATGGTCTTAGGGACATCATTTCTGTCACACATATTCACGAAGAGATCTTAGGTTGGCTTTCTCTTACACCTCAAATCTTCAGTTCATCATGCTCCTATTTCTAGTTTCTCAGAGTAGGCTAAATTTTTCTTCATATAAACTTATTTCAAAAAGGTTCACTGAGAGAAAAAGCAGCATTAGTAAAAATAAAATCTATAGTACCAGTTACTTTAAATAGGTCCGGTATACCAAGGCTATTTTGTAGCAGAACATGTACTGAAAATTACCCTCTTTTGAAAGTTAATTCCTGCCTGTATTCAGGACCTGGCTCTTCCTACGTATGCCTGTACCTTCTTTATGTCTCTCCTTTCTTTAAAAATGTTCAAGTCATTCGCAGCTTAAACCTGTTGGATTGATTCTTCTATGTACTCTAGCTACTTTTGATCTTAATTCTCTTTTAAACAGGAAACCTTTGAATGTTTGCCTGCTACTTCCACTTTTAATATCCCTCAATTCTTAACTTTGTAATTTTTTATTCTCATTTCTACTTAAATTGTTTCTCTAAGATTGCTGGCAATGAAGAGAAGGCAATGAATAGGAAAAAAAAAAAAAATATATATATATATATATATATATGTATGTGTGTGTGTATATGTGTGTGTGTATATATATATATATATATATATATAGCCAATATGCAGAGTGTCCCCTCCGGAGTTCGACCGGGAGATCAGGAGTGCGATCGCTCGCTATGACATGTGCTGATCACCAGGGAACAGCGTGGAACATGGGGGGTGACCAGCTGTGGCTGTGGGGCTCTGAGGGAGCGAGGGAAGGGGAAGGCGGGGAGGAGGGGGAAACTGTGTGGTGGCAGCACACAGGTGGCATGGGAAGGAGGAGGCGGGGAGGCAGGAACCTGATGAGCTCTGATTGCAGGCCAGGCCTAGGGACCCTACCCATGCATGCATTTCATGCACCAGGCCTCTAGTTTTCATATAACTGTCTGATTTGGTACTTTGGAATCCAAATCCTGCTTAGGACTCAGTATCTGTCCTTTACATTTGTAGAGAGCTGTACACTTGACAAAATGTGTTATGTTTGTCCATGTATGCACCTTGTAGAGGCCTGAGGCTTGTAAGGTATTATCCCCATTGTTCAGATGGGGAAATTGATACTCATATTTATGTCAAGGCTGGGACTAACCACATATGTTAGAGATGGTATATTTTTAGATTTGTTTTGGAATTTTGTTCATCTTTAGTCTTTGGGCTTGTTCTTGTGGGTGACTATGGATAACCAAGTTCATATAATTTTGCTTCCTTTCTTACATTATTTTCACTGTGTTAATTTTAGAGCCTACTCTCCTAGGTAAACTAATTATTAAGTATCTAGGACAATGGATTTGTCTCCTAAAGACATGTAATGGTTTGATTCTTCATAAAGGATAACCCAGATTGATAAATCTATGTATGTATTCTTAATTGCTATTGCAATATTTTTATTTCCCTTTTCTATAGAAAAAATAGTGACTTAAAATTTAAAGGTGACTTTCTAAATTAATAAATATGTGGAATTAATTCTGAAGTTATTTCATTCCTTTGACCCTTATTGTGAAGGCTCTGAAACCAGTATCAGTAATGATACCTCCTTACAAGGTTATTGTGAGAAATAACTGAAAACTTATGAAATCAAGCTCAGGAAACATGAATGCCTGTTAATTTTTGTGATAAGTTTAATAATATTTTGTACTAATGCAGCATCTTATTTAAAAGATATAATTGTATTTCATTTTTGCTTTTTGTATCACTTAACTTTATTAAGGCCTATAGTTTTTTAATTCCATATTTTTTCATAAACTTTTAGCTTGGTTCATAAATCAGAATTACATTTTGTTTTCGTATTATTTTCTTTTACTTTTAAAATTACATTAATGAGTTGACTGTTTAAGAATCATTCTCATAATTCATTCATCTGTCTCGCCTCCTTTTTAAAGCTTCAGCACTGAAGGCCTTTTGACAAACCAATATTTATAACAGTTTGACAGCGGGATGAGGAACAGCATTTGTCTTTGTAACAGCTTGAAGAAAGACCCTTTCCAGGACCCAGTCATGCAGTTACAATCTTGACCTCTTTCTTATGCTGGGAACATACATACAGCAGCATGTGTTTTCTTGTCCCATTGACTGTCCATTCACTTCCCATCTGTTTTGCAGCCTTAAAGGAACAGAAGGGGCCCTCTTCTTATAAATCTGTCTTTGCAAGTGATAAATGATGTCCTGTCTCTTTAAGGGCTGCCTGGGTGGTTTTCCTTTTCTTAAAGTATTTCAACTTTTCTAACAAAATTCAGGATAAAATATACTTTTAAGAATAAGAGAAAATAGAAAAGAAAAAATGATGGATTATTTTAAAACCTCGATTGGAACTGACTATTTTACTGGTCATTAGGCTAAAGCTTTCCCAATTAATTACCTTAATCATATTTTAAAAATTGTATTGATACTTAGATTGTTCAACAGGAACAAAAGAATGTGTTCATTTTGAGATAGTGTATTTATTTAAACTTTTGTTGAAGAAAATAAAACAATGTATTATTTACGAGTTAGCAAGTAAAATATCTTTAAAAGATTTTTTCCCCCGCCACATTTTGTGTTAATATATGTAACTAATATGGAGCATTTTATGTACTGGGTACAGAATAAAATAATTCACAGTAGACTTACAACCTTAAGGTAGAATCAATCTAACTTTTACATTTAAAAGACAGTCATGAATCCCAATCGTGAATCTTCTGTTGCTGAAAATAAATACTCTTAAGTATAGATACTTATCATTGGTTTCTAAGAATTGAGCAGATATTAATTTATTTTTTCTCCCATGCAGATATATTCATAGAAGTTTACATATAACAAATATACCCCCCAAATATTCTCGAATAACTGGCATAAAAAGGATTACCAGTATAAAAAGACCACTTTTAGACTATTAGAGTATATTATATGAAGCAGCTGCCTAGTAATATATCTTCCTCAAACTAGCATGATAGTTTATTTATTAATTTCCTGCCTTATCCTAAAAAAGGATTTGAGGCAGCTTACAAAGACCTATCTTTTTTTTTTTTAAATATATTTTATTGATTTTTTTTACAGAGAGGAAGGGAGAGAGACAGACAATTAGAAACATCGATGGGAGAGAAACATCGATCAGCTGCCTCCTGCACATCTCCCACTGGGGATGTGCCCGCAACCCAGGTACATGCCCTTAACCGGAATCGAACCTGGGACCTTTCAGTCCGCAGGCTGACGCTCTATCCACTGAGCCAAACCGGTTTCGGCTACAAAGACCTATCTTGTGCAAAAGGTAAAAATGGAAAAGTTAAATGGAAGGGAAGATAAAATCCAGGCAAGTGAAATTTGGGGTAAGATTGGTACCCCCTCAAAATACATGCTCAAGGGTTCTAGATTCTTTGCTATAAGTATGCTACAAATTTAGCCCTGCGGTTCCTAGGGACTGAGACAAAAATGGAAAGCAAAGTGGATTACATGACTTATGGTAACTCTCAAACAACAACATAGCAGTTGCGTAGATGAAACATAGGTATTCCCAGAACACACACCTGAGAGAAGTTTATCAGTCCTCATAACACTGAGTTATATGATATAGTGAATCAGATGGCTGTATATAATCATGAATTTTATGGGGCTCTTTCATGTTCTCAATGTCAGCAAATAACATAAGCAATTCTGAGCAAAATCAAAATGATGCAGTTCAGATACATAGCTATTTGGTGTGGCTGATCTAAAGATGAAATATATAAATCTTAGAGAAATAGATGAATTATGCATATCCCATCTAATATTTCATAAATAATATTTCTTACAGCTAAGCCTTTTAGAAAGTATCAAGTAGCAGAAAGTTCAAGGTTTTACACTCATTGACATTGACAAACCTGGAATGGTGCTACTCTTTGTCAGTTAAGGGCAGATATATAAGAATTAATACTATAGTTAGCTGAACGAAATTAGGGTTGCCATCTACTTAGGAAAGTTGAAGGGCCTAACCAATATAAAGGCCTGAGTATTAGGCTACTCTATGTTCATCCATACTGAAATCTTTTGGAGAATTCGACTTAAAAATATTAAGAATGTATTTTAAGAGGTTTTGATTATATTAGCCAAAAGGTGCTTGATAGAAATGCTTACAATTAAGAGTTTTTTTAAAAAAGCTAAATTTATTCATAAGTCACTTTGAGCTTTTTATATATTAAGTAGACATAAGTTATACTTTACCTCACAGACTTTCTTTATGGCAGCTCTTTTCTTCCCTAAATCTTATTGTTTGGGGGTTTGAAAATAGCAAATTTTTTAAATAATTACCTTTAATGTTTGAATTAAGTACTGGTTAAATCAGATCACTCAACAATGAATGAATGAACTATGAATATTCATGGGCATCTATTACATAGCAAGTGCTGTGCTAGGCTGAGTGATTTTAAATGGCAGACTTTTTGTAAGTATATGATTCAGACAAGCAGTCCCACATTGATTTCTGGAAAAGGCAGTATAAAACCGATCTCTCTAAATTGAATTATATAGCCCTGTGAGAATATTGTCATTTGTGATTGTATTTTTCACTAGGAGCTTAACATGAAATTTAAAAAGATACTAAGTAATAAACAAAAGATAATAAACAAGTTTTAAAAGATGCAATTAAAACATGATCAGTTAGAATAGTACCTGCCAGTTCTAAGTTTGAAAGTAACATGGGCTTTGGATTCTTCTAACAGATTCCTTCATTTTATAGATAAAGAAACTAGGACTGTGACTTGTCTACGGTCATAAAGTTAAAGGCAAAGCTGATACTCGAAACAGTTCTCCTGATCACAGGATTGTATACCTTTTAATACATTGTTTTATCTTTATAAAAATCAGGTAAAATAACTAACCTTTTTATGATTTGGGGGTGTTAGACCAGGATTTATATAACCTTTTTTCCATCAAACACCTTTCATTGTATATGCCTGTAAAGTCTATGTTTTAGAGATTTGTCTACAATAATGAACTTATACCAAATGATTATTATGCAAGTAGATGTAATTCTAGCCCAAACAAAGATTTTCATTTGAACTTTTGAAGCAATGGAAATAACCCAGAGACTCTGTTACCATTTTCACAGACACCCTATAAGTCTGGGACCCCACCCAACTTTGAAATGACCATCCCAATCTCAAGTAGCTTTCCAGAACATAGGAAATGAAGCTCCTTCTGTAATAAGCAGTAATCTTGTTTGTCTTCATTAATGAGTCTGTTTAAAAATAAGTGTGTGTGTTTGTAGGGGGGAAAAAAAACTACAGGGCCAAGATTGAGAAGATAAGTGTTAGATTTAGTACACCTTTGACTATCTCTTTGGTTCTTCCTTTCATTCACTGTAAAACATGCACATTCCTCCTTGTGCTAAATCTAAGATTTGGAGTTAGTTTTGAGAATCTTGGTTCTGATCTCTTATTCACCTTTTGTTGTTGTTTTCTTTCTTTGTTTCCCTGTACCCTATATGATTCCTTTAAATACTGAATTTCTAAAGAGCACTTACTAATATAGTATAATGGTCTAATAAAAAGCAAGCCTTTTCAGGAAGAACATATGGTACATAATAAGAAATGTTTCTTTAATTTTCCATGCTTTAGTGAATAACTTTTCACAGCAGAATCTCACCTACAAGGTGTCCTCAAGCGTGCTACAAAGTGTGTGCAACATGTTATAAAACTGTTGGGTTGAGGCACATTAGGATCCTCAGATGTGTGGTTTGCGTAAAGTCCACTGCATCAGTAAGTTTGCAGCTTGTTTCTTTATGCTTTCTTTAAAAACATCAAAAGTTGTAAAAGGTTTACTTCAGTGCATGTAGTAATGTTTTGTGTGTGATTCTTTGTTCCTGTTCTAAACTGTTATTAACCACTGAAGTGAATCTTCTCCTGGGATTGGCCTTTTGGTATTCACAGTGTATTCAAAACCTAATTACAGATTAGTCTATATTTGAGACTCTTGGAACGAATGTCAGAAGACTCAAAAAGAATTTGAGAGTAGCAGTATCATTTCATGTGGCGATAAAGAGACCCAAACCATGAATGAGTGTCAAATCATGTGAAGAAAAGAAAAAAGGAAGGAACTTCATTCACTGAGGCTGACGGTTTATGAGTTGGGGATTATAGGAATATTCATGACTCAATCAAGAAGCACAATGAATTGATGTTTGAAATTGTTCATCTTTTAGGTAAACATTGGATAAATGGAAAGTAGACTCTGTATTCACAGCATGTAGAATTGGCTATTTCAGTGAAACAGAAATAGCAGTATCTTAATCCCTTCCTGAGTAGGTTTAATTTATCAAGTAAATCACAAATTTTACAGGAATTCTCCAACTATAAATATTTAGTACAAATATTTAACAGAAAAGGGAGTTTGCTTTATAATTAGTCATGGTAAACTGTACACATTTCTGTGGGAAAGTAATTTCTAATGGTGAAATAGCTAAATACAATAAGATTTGGGGATTTGAAAACACTAATCACTGAGACATTAATTTAGAAGGATCAGAAAGTAGAAAGTTTTAATTGCTAACATTCAACCTTGATTTTTATGGATAATTCAGTTTTCTGTGCAGTGGATAGCATAAGACAGTGCTGAAAACTTATATCAGAGTTTAAAATGAATGAATTCAAATGTGGGGAATAATCCTGCTTCTAATTTGAAGTGTTGTGTTTTTTTCCACTGAGGATTCTGTTTAGTGTTGCTCATGTGATTCAGGTGACCCACCAGCTTGTCCTGCTCTTCATTGTCCCTGAGGACCTTGCCTCCTACTCCCAGGCTTGCTCCAGCTCCTGTGGTCATGGCTTCTGCCCTCTTGGTCACTGCTGTAATGTCCAGGAAGCCTGTCAAGTTGTTTTGTTTCTTGATAACCGATAGCCCTTATTTTCTATGCTATATTTTTTTGAAACTGTCATTTATCAATATCTATTGAGCATGTATACTGAGTCAGACGTTGTAGATACTGAGGATGCTGAAGTTTTGGGGGTCCAGTTTCCTACACATACTGTTCTCAGGAGTTTCTCCAAATGTGTATAGATCTAATCTGCTCAAGAGGTGGCAATATTCCTCAGGGGATGATAATGTTTTATATGGTTTTTTAGCCATCCCTAGCCATAGCACAACCTAGGAGGTGCTCAGTAACTATTCAATTCCATAGTTTTTACTAAAACATGTCTTATTTCACATAAAACACAAACTTATAACAAATACACTGGAAATAATAGCCTTCGTTTTGTTACCGC